CAAAGCACGTTGGGGCAATTGGTTTAATTCGTTTTGTCTGTTATGTTGAATTTCTTGTTTCTACGCACATAGGTCATCGTTTGAATTGTTAGTCATTGGTACATTATGTTTCGCATACGCAAAATACGCCCCACCCATGTATTGGCGTAGTCTTAGTATGTTGAATTAGTTTGCTTGTGAAATCGGTTGGGTTACGCAGGATGAGGAAACACAGCAAGGACATGGTCATTTTGGTATCGAAGTGTGTTCTTGGCCACGCGGGAGTTTTGTTTTGATTTTTTTCTTGGCAAAACATGGTTCGAGCGCATTGAGCAAGTAGCGGCGTCTTGATGTGTTTGACACATGCAATGCGTGAAACAAATTGGGTAATTTCAGGAAGTTCGCTTGTGCATAGCATTCTCGGGGTATTTTTCTCTGCCAGATTTGTGTTTCGAATCTACAGTCTGGACCACTTAAGTATATGCTCGTTCCAGCAAGTTGACCAGGTGCGAGTACGTAGTTGAAATATTTTCAGATTTTGCGCATTGCAGGCAGGTCCCGTAACTTGGAAAGAATTTGCATTGCAGAGTCGGTAGTAATGTGTGTTGGGTAAGCGAAGCATTGGGGTTTGTAAAATTCGCACGTTGACGCGATTCCGGCAGTTGTTTGGTTGAAGTACGCATTTGCTTAGCTCTGTTCAGCAAAGCAAGCATGTTTCAGGTAATAAGCTTCTTAAGCTTTGCGTGTATATATATATATATACCTATATACGATCCTATACGACCACCCTTCGGGTGATAAGGAGGTTCGGGGGAAGAACCAACGTCTCACTCGATCGGTCTCGCTATCGATCTTACTATTGATCTCAGTATCGGTCTCGCTCGATCGATCTCACTCGATCGATCTCACAATCGATATTACTCGATATATTTCACAATCGATATGACTATCGATCTCACAATCGATCTCACTATCGATATCACTATCGATCTCACAATCTACTCACATTCGGTCTCATTATCGGTATCCTTATCGATATCACAATCGATCTCACAATCAACGTCATCATCATCATCATCGACATCATCGTCATCAACGTCATCAACGTCATCAACGTCATCTACATCATCATCATCGGGACACCATCATCATCATCACCTCATCACCATCATCATTAACATCATCATCACCATCATCATCATCATCATCGGGGCACCATCATCGTCACCATCATCATCGTCATCACCATCGGGACACTATCGTCATCATCGGAACACCACCAGCATCATTATCATCAACATCATCATCATTTCATTACCATCATCATGAACAACACCGTCAACATCATCATCATCATCATCGGGACACCGTCATCATCGGGACACCATCATCATCATCAACAGCATCATCACCGGGACGCCATCATCATTGTTACCATCATCATCACCATCATCATCATCATCGGGACACCATCGTCATTATCAACATCAGCATCATCATCATCTGGCCACCAGCATGAAAATCATCATCACCTCATCATCATCCTTATCATCAAAATCATCATCATCGAACACCATCATCGTCATCATCATCATCATCGGGACATCATCATCACCCCCATCAGCATCAACAGTATCATCATCAACCGCATCATCATTATACTCGGGACACCACCATCACCATCTTAATCATCAACGTCTCGTCATCTCATCATCAACATCATCATCATCATCCACATCATCATCATCAGCATCATCATCATCGGTACATCAGCAGCATCATCATCATCAAAATCATCATCATTGGGACACCATCATCATCACCACCATGGCCATCATGATCATCATCACGATCATCACCACCATCGGGACACTCTCATCGTCACCATTCTAATCATCAACATCATCATCGGGACACCATCATCATCATTGGAACACCACCATCATCATCATTTCATCATCATCACCACGGACAGCATCATCAGCATTATCACCATCGGGACACCATCATCATCATCATCAGCAACATCATCATCAACGTCATCATTATCGGGACACCGTCATCATCGTCACCATCGTCATCATCACCATCACCATCATCAGCATCTGGACACCATCATCATCAACATCAGAATCATCATCATCGGGCCACCACCATCAAAATCATCATCACCCCATCCTGATCTTTATCAAAAACATCATCGTTTCCATCATCATCATCATCATCATCATCATCGGGGCACCATCATCATCACCATCATCATCATCAACAGCATCATCATCAACCTCATCATCAGCATCATCATCGAGACACCATCATCATCATCATCATCATCTCATCATCTCGTCGTCATCAACATTATCAGGATCATCAACATCATCTTTCATCATCATTTGGACACCAGCATCATCATCAACATCATCACCATCGGGACACTTTCATCATCACCACCATGGCCATCATCATCATCATCAACTCCGTCATCATCATCATCATCATCATCATCATCATCATCGTCATCATCATCATCATCATCATCATCATCATCATCATCATCATCATCATCATCATCGGGACACCGATGGGACACCGGCGGGACACCTGCGGGACACCGCGCGGCACCGGTTGCCAGAAGGGAGACTTTTGGTCCTGCCGCGCCTCAGCCAGAGGCGGGACATTTCGCGCCCGCCCACGCAGCGTCGCCTCGCCCGCACGCACGGCACGCACGAACACGAAACCGAAACCGATTTCCCGGTAGGGGGGCTTTCCGTTCCACTTCGATCTCACCTTTTCACCTCCGATATATTCAAGTAGTGTCGCAAAACCGTTCGTGCAGGAATAACATCTAGGTTCGGTTGATGGGTATACGAAACACGAGCAATATATTCAAACCTAGCTTAGATTAACTATTTGTGCCAGATACGTGGGCCAGGACATACTCATTGAATATACTTACATACACATGTATATACTTGTGTCGAAATCCGGAATCGATTGGCAACCATATTGCACATCGTATATGGCATCACACATGTTAACATAGCTGGGGTCCACATGCCAAGAGTCATACGTTTGTTTCCCACATCTGCTTTCTTTTATTTATGTACAACTATTTCCACAAGTTTCCCATCATCCGCCAGCCCTAATATTTGCTCAGGCTCTACTTTTTTCTTCTTGCTGCCTCCTCCCCTTCTTCCTTCCCTCCTTGCACCTTTGCTATTGTGTCCCGCACCTCGCCCTCCTCTTCCTCCTCCTTCTCCTCCTCCTCGTCCTCCTCCTCCTCCTCCTCATCCTCCCCTTGATTTCCCCAAAGTACCGCAGTTTGGTTTTGCACGCCGCCTGGCTTCGACGCGTCGGGCACCGCCGCTGTCGATGTCGCCGTCGCCCGAGTCGGTGGCCCTGACGAGGCGGGTGCGGCGACAGTACCGGTGCCGAAACATGCCTAGAGTCCAGAAAACATTGGGTGCAACTCCAACATGGCTGGCTGATGCTGTGGGGGCGCCACTCAAAGATGTGCCGTACACTAAACCTGCCAGGCGGGGCCTGCGCATGTTGCTGTGCGCTTCAGGTTTGGCGTCGGCTTCAGCTGAGGGTGCGCCGCGAAGCGCCGTGAGGCCAGCTCACCTGAGTCGACTTTCCGCTCGCATGGGTGTTTCCCTCCCTCCCTCCCCCCCCGTACCCCTTTTGCCCCCTTCCGAGCCCACCAGAGAGTCGTAGAAGTTCCCTCCAACATTCTCCTCCCTCCCACCCGCACACCTCCCTTTTTCCGCCTTGCTCTCCTGTTCCTTCTGCTGCTGCTGCTCTGGCTTCTTCTCCCTTCTTCTCCTCCTCCTCCTCCTCCTCTTCCTACTCATCTTCCTACTCATCTTCCTACTCATCTTCCTCCCCCTCCTCCTCATCCTCCTCCTCCTCTCCCTCTTCCTTCTCTTCCTCCTCTTCCTCCTCTTCCTCCTCTTCCTCCTCTTCCTCCTCATCCTCCTCCTACTGTTTCTCCTCCTGCTCCTCCTCCTCTTTCTCCTCCTCCTCCTCCTTCCCCTCCTCCTCCACCTCCTCCTCTTCCTCCTTTTGCTCCTCCTCCTCCTCATTATCCTCCTCCTCCTCCTCCTCCTCCTCTTCCTCCTCACCCATGACACTTTTAGTTTGCTCGCGTTCGAACGTGCACGCACCCCTGCAGGTCCGAATGGCTCCGTTTCCTGCGCCGCGGGGGGAAAGGGCGTCACCCTGACGGTAAAAGTACCCAGAGGGCAAATCGCATCCAAGGTTGACGTTTCATCTCCATGGTGATAGTTATTTTTTGGATGTTCGAGATGTTTCATCAATGCGGGCAGGCTGTTCATAGGCTATTGGGCTTTTGTCGAAGGGTGCCGCCTTGAGGAGAACATATTGCGAGCAAGCGATGCTATGCAAGCCAGCGCGGAGGCGCCACAGAGGTCCTATGCAGTTGAGCGCGGAGGTGCGAGAGAGGTCCTGTGCTCGTTGAGAGGAGTATCCACCACCAGTAGGCCTTCAGAGGCTCAGTGTGGTCCCAGACCTTGATGGGTGTCCGCCCGCTCTTGGCCAGGCTGGAAGGACACATCGTCGACATATCCACGGAGATCTGGGCCGAAGATGGGCTTTCGGAGGTCTGGTGGTGCATGCTGTCCATCTCCTCATGCGCGACCTTGCCACGGCAGGGCTTGTCCTGCTCTGTCTGCCTTTCCGCAAGTTCCGCCTCGCTTCCTCCCTGTCCTCTTTTCTCCACCTCCCAGGCCTCTCCTACCCCCCGTCCCAGACATCCGTCGTCGTGATTATGCCTCGGCGTGGCTCCCAGAGGTCTGAGCCCTTTCCCTGGGACGGCGATCTTTTGCGGCGGTCCCAGTGGCCCAGTGGGGGTCCCAGATGCCCAAACCGGCCCCGAAGACACCGACCAGCCACCGTGACTTTTGCACGACGCGAGGATGTCAGGGTCCCCCCCCGTCGCTGCCCGCCCCTGCTCCCGACGGGCTGGCGCCTCCGCTCCCACAAGCCAGCCCCGGGGGGAGGGCATGCCGCCGCTGCGCCCCGCGGTGGGCTTCTGCATCCAGACGGAGACCGCGGGGCGCGCGCGCGGAAGATCCTCCTCCTCCTCCTCTTCCTCCTCCTCCTCCTCTGCCGCCTCCTCCTTCCCTTTTCCTCCTCCTCCTTCTTCTCCTCCTCCTCCTCCACGTCCACGTCCATCAGGGAATTGCCGCCGCGACGGATGAGAGGATCGACGCGGCCGCAACACCATTGTGGAATGAGTTGGAACACTGTTCTGTGAATCATGCGTGGGCCTGATAGTAGAGCGACCTTTGCCAGCAGCACGCAGCAGTTGCCCGTTGTCGGGCGCTCAGGCCCCACCCCGCTGAGTCCCCTCGCGTGGACACTCTTGCGGGCACCGTCACCGTCAGCGTCTACGTCCATCAGGGAGGCGACTCCGGCTTTCAGGTGCAAGGGCCTGGCCCAGCGTCTGCTTGCTTGTTGCCTTTTTTCAGAGGGGGGCAGGGGTGTCGGGGCCCTTTGCTGCTTGCCAGCTGTCTTGGCGGCCTTGGCTCTGCTGCATCATTTGCGGGCTCTCTGGGGCCACCTGGCGGGGCGGCCTGGGGCGCGGAAGATCATCCCATCCACGATGCCCCACGTCCTGGGACAAATTGAGACAAATCGAAGAGCAGCAGCAGCAGCAGTCGCTTTTGAAGACAAATCGAGACTGCTGCCTGTTCTCTGCTACAGAAAAAGATCGAAGCAGACGCTATCGACACCCTAGAAGACGTCGTGGAGAACGGATCTGGGGGAAGCACGACCGGACGCGCAGGGCAGCCACGGTGCCGCTCCGCCGACACCTCGAGCGGAAGTTCCTTTTGCGGAAATCGGTTTTGTTTTTTTCCCTGCTTCATTGGGGCGCCCCCAGCAAGAGGAGAAGAACAGCAGTGGGAGGAGGTTTCGATACGATGTGCGCGCCTGTGTCGGGCGATGAGATCTACACATTCGCAGGCACTGGTCAGGCTCATCCTGGGCCCAGGATTGATATTCGTGCCATCCTCGCCAAGCCAGGGGGGCCTATGCCCAGGATGGGCCTTGCTAGGGGCGGTGGATATGTAAATTAATTCCTGAGCAGTCTCTTCTGAAACGCACTCGGTGGCGACTGCGAGTGCGAGTGGCAGAGCGGATGCATCATGTCGACACTCGTTTGTGCTCGTCTTCGTCGTCGTCGATTCCGTCGTCGTCGTCGTCGTCGCCGTCATGAGGAGGAGGAGGAGGAGGAGGAAGAGGAGGAGGAGGAGGAGGACCTGAGGAGGAGGAGGAGGACCTGAGGAGGAGGAGGAGGAGGAGGAGGAGGAGGAGGAGGAGGAGGAGGAGTAGGAGTGGGAGTAGGAGTCAAGCTAGCCAGTCAAGCATGGCATGCCCACTCCCACCGGCACTCCCACAGCATAAGAAACTGTGCTTGCGCAACTGGGGACCGAAATCAGATCGGCAATGTGGTTTGCCATAGCTGATGCAGCCGCGATAGCGGTTGCCGATTGGACATTCTTGGCGCGTCTCAAAGACTGCGGTGGTATTTCAACACGAGCCGAGGAGGCCCCAGGAAGCCCTTGGAGGCCCCTGGAGGCCTCAGGAGGCCCCGTGCGGTTGCAGGAAACCCCAGCGAACTCCAGGAAACCCCAGGAGGCTTTAGGAGGGCCCAGGAAGCTCCGGGAGGTTCAGGAGGCTCCAGGAGGCTCCAGGAAGCCTCGTGGAGTCTCAGGAATCCCCAGAATTCAACAGGAGGCCCCAGGAGGATCCACGAGGCCCTGGGGAAACCCCAGGATGTTCCAGGAGATCCTTGGAGGCCCCAGGGGGCCCTAGGCGCTCGCCAAATTGGCAAGCGAAAAATGTACGCCGCGCCTTAGCGGGAGCGCAACTTTCAGAAAACATGCGCGCAGCGCCGAAGCGGGAACGACATTTCGCCCTGTCGCGCGCGATGTGCACCGCGCCCCATTCCTGCCACGCATTTCGTAAAGCCGACGACATGAGAGTCCTCGTTGAGAAGAAACATGTCGACTTTGTATTGGTTTTTGAGAGGTAGGATGGCCCCTCCCGCTTGGGGTTGCCCCAGACGTCCGCGCGCGATGTGCGCCGCGTCCCATTCCTGCTACGCATTTCGCATCGTCGACGACAAGATAGGCCATGTTAATAGAAAAAGAGAGACTTCGTACTGATTTTTTACAGTCCGGATGGGAGGGCCCGGATTGACGTCCGCGCGCGATGTGCGCCGCGTCTCATTCCTGCCACGCATCTCGCATCGTCGACGACAAGACCGGTCATGTTGAGAGGAACAACGGGAACAGTGTATTGATTTTTGACAATGAGGATGGGACCACCGTGATGGGGTTGCTACTGGCCAGACAGGGGAAAGTAAGAGTGCATTCGAATAAGGAATAAGGATCGGATGAGGAGGAGGAGGAGGAGGAGGAGGAGGAGGAGGAGGAGGAGGAGGAGGCGGACGAGGAGGAGGACCTCAGGAGGAGGAGGAGGAGGAGGAGGAGGATCCGAGGAGGAGGAGGAGGATCTGAGGCGCAGCTAGGAGGCCGCAAACGTCGGACAGGGCAGGGCTTCGAGAGCCAGCCTGCGGAAGCGCCCGAGCCGTGCCGAGGAGAGCACCGGGACTCCGCCCGGCCGCTGGTTCATCAACATGACCAGGCCTTTGGGGCTCCACTCGGGCCGAACGAAAGGGGGGGATAGGGAAAGGGGGGGTCACGAAATCTGCAGCATGCAGCTGGTTTCGGCCCCACCGCCGGGCGCCGGGAGACGCCCATGTATACATGGGCGTCTCCCGGCGCCAGGAGGCGCTGGGAAAATCAGCTAAACACCCATTCCCTCCACCTTCCCTAGCGGATCGAAGAATGAGACAAATATAAAGACTCAGAGGTCCGCGCGGACCTCCGAGTTTTTTGTTTATGTCATTCTTCGTTCCCCTATTCCCCCCCTGCCCCCTCCGCCGTCCCCCCCTCCTGCGCCCTCCACCCTCTACCCTCCGCCGTGCACCCTCCGCCTTACGCCTTGTACCCTCCTCTCCATCCTCCAGCCTCCGCCCCCGCCTGTCCCTTCTCCACAGTCCACCCCCTCTTGCTCACCACTCATCACTCCTCCTCGGGGCCGCGCCTGGGGTGTCCAGGCGGTGTTCATGTCCTCGGTCGAGTCGGGGGGCGCGACGCGATGTCCAGGCCAGCGAACATAAGCCTGGCGTCGTGTGCCCGTGGCCGCCGTCGCTGCACTCTGTACCGCCGTTGTCTGCGCTCGAGGGCGGTCCTGATCCTCTCGCCACGAAGGGATCCGTTCTTTGCCGCGCTCCCTGCCCCGGCAGTGAACCTCGCGCTGACCAGCGTGCCACGCTTCGGCTACGTGTAAAGGTGACCCTTCGCCAGAGTGACCTGTAGTGCTGGCCCATGGGGCTCCCGCCAGCACTGGATGTCGCGCTTGGGTGGCTTGCATTTGGCCTCCCCCCCGGCACCCGCAAGCCGCGCACCAAAGGTCGCTCCTGCGCAGGGTCACTTGCGTGTCGCCGAGCGGTTCCTCTCGCCGCGCGCGCACGCTCGGAGTACAGCCCTCGCTGTCGCTCTTCCCGGCCCGTGGAGGAGCCTCCCGGGGGCACCCCCGCGGGGAAGGCGTGCCGAAGACGCCTCCCGCGAGTGGCCGCCGCCACCCCAGCCTTCTGGTGACGCCCGTGGTGGTGGCCCGCCCCCTCCTCCGCGGTCGCCCCCTCAGCGTTTGCCTCCACCGCTCTTGCCGCCGCCGCCGTCGCCGTCCTCGCCGCCGGCGCCGCCGCCGTCCTTGCCGTCGTCGCCGCCGCCGCTCTCGCCGACGCGGCCGCCGCTCTCATCGCCGCGGCCGCCGTCGGCGTCCGCCGCCGCCGCCGCCGCCGCTGCGCGCCGCAGCCGCCGCCGCCCTGTGCTCGGTTCGCAGTCCCGTGGCTCGGTTGGCCGCTTCGACCTCGCGGAGCGTCCACCAGCGCTGCGACTAAACAGGTGCGGTGGAGTGTCGTGCTATGCTTCGGCGGCGAGCGAGGGGGGAAAATGAGAAGGAGAAGGCCTTCTCAGAAGGAGGCGGAAACCCTCGCGCCTTCTGAGAAGTTTTTGTCTTCGGGGAAGGCTTAGAAAACTTCTCAGAAGGCCGGGGAACTTCCGAACCTTCTGAGAAGACCTTCTTCTTCTCACTTCCCCCCCTCGCTCTCCGCCGAGTGGTAATGGAAGCGGGGGCCGCGTGACCTCCAGCTGTCGGGTTACCCGTTGGGGAACATTGGGGCTATGTTTGGGCTCCCATCTGGTATTCTGGGCCTGCTTGGCAGTCTCCTGGGGCCCTGTTGGGCCATTTTGCAGCTCCATGGGACTATCTCACTCAGGGCGCTCTTGGGTCTATGGCGTCTCCAGAGGCCGTCTTGGGGGCCTCTCCAGGTGGTCTTGAGGTCCTCTTGGGGTCATTGAGGGCCGTCATTTGGGCTGTCTTCGGCCGTCTCGGGGGCCCTCTCGGGGCCACCTCGGGCCCTCTTAGGGGTCCCTCTCGGGGCCTACTCGTGCCGTCTTGTGCTGCTACTGGGGGCCTCTTCGGCCGCCGTGGACGCTCTCGAGTCCGAGAAGGGATTCCGGATGCCTCGGATCCGTGGTCGTCATCCTCCTCGTCGCTCGGCGTGCAGCGTCCCCAGGTGGGATGCAGCGAAGACCACCGGAGCTCTGTTTTTTTGGGGGGGGAAGGGCCAAACAGTGTTAAGTCGGGCATGTCCCTCTACAGGAGGAATCTTCGAGAATGGCGAAAGAATAGTCTAGGAGCGATTCGTCGTGTTACTTTTTGACTCTTTTGGAGTTTTGCTTTTGACATGTTTTGAACATTTTCTTCGAGAATCCGCCTGCAGGAGGACGTGCTTGACCTCAAAACAGTGCTGCAGCACTTGGCGCGCCAAAATAGTTACCCCTCCCGGCAGGCTGCGGGGGCCGCGAATTTTTTGGGTGCCCTCCGGCCCACCCAGCCATCGTGCCCGAGTCGTGGGCAGGATGCCTCCTAGGGGGCTGTCGATGTCTCTCGGGAGGTCTCGCCCCTTGGTGGAGGAGGAGGGGGAGGAGGAGGAGGAGGAGGAGGAGGAGGAGGAGGAGGACGTGGACTTCGACCTCGTCGGCTGAGCGGAGGCAACTCTGGCGCACCCCCACCTCGCAGCGATGCAGGAGGGGTAGGGTTCACTGATCAGCTCCCAAGATTAGTTTGACAGGTGTCGGAAACAATTAAGCAACGCTCCTGCAGAACATGTGGCCTGAACTCCCCCCCCCTCCCCCCAAGTGCAGTGTAGGCTTCGGATCTTCCGATTTGGGGCCTCCGAGTGGTCTGCAAGGAACGCGCCAATTTTGGATTTCGGGGGAGGGGGGGGGGGGAATGTTGCTCGATGCCTTCCCTCTACCGGACCTCGTGGAGCCTCTCGGGAGGCCTCCTGGGAGACTCTCGGGGGTCTTCTCTGTGGGGCTCCCGGGCGCCTCCCGGGAGGGCTTGCTGGCGGTCGGGCTCTAGAAGGCCCCTTCGACTTCCCCCCTGGGGCCCGTCTTGGGGGGCCTCTTCGGCCCCTCGTGGGAGCTGGGGGGGGCCCGTCTTGGAGCGATCTTGGTGGCCTCTTGGGCCGTCTTGAAAGCCCTGAAGGCCGAAGCGCCGAGAGCGCCTCGGAATCGTGCGGGCAGCCAGAGGTTCTTCGGCGATGCCGGCCCCTCGGGCCTGCCGCCCGGGGGCATTCCTTGGGCGGCCCACGAGGCCCCTGCGAGGCGGGCCCCCGGACGGGCCCGCGGGACCCTCGGATGGCAAGTCGGACGTCTGCCTCGGCGGAGGCACGCGCCGAGCCCCGAGAGCGCCCGGGGGCGCCCGGGAGTTCCCCAGGAGTCCGGGGTCCGGGCCGCCGTGAGGAGCGGGTCACGGCGCTCGACGCAGTGAGCTCGACGGGGCTGTGGGGAGGGGGGCCCGGGCCCGAAGCGGTGGTTTTGGTGACTTCGTGGGCCGTTTTCGTTTCGATTTCGTTTTGCGGTAAAGGCGGATTCGAGACAAAAGCGAGGGAAAACGAAAGCAAAACGAAAACAAAAAACACCGTTTAGGTTCAGCCCCGTTTGGGGCTCGTCCGAGCATCGCGCTGGGACCAGGTCAGGGACGCAGATCCACTGGGGAGGGGCCGCGCTAGATGTTCGAACCGGGGGTTCGTCCTCTTTTCCAGAATCGTGGTCCCACAGCCGAGGGCTAACCGATGCCGGGAACGTACTTTCAGAGCAGGTGCTGTATGATGTGGGTGCAGTAAGATCTGTCCCCCGTGTTGATGGCTTGAGCGCTCCTACCGCTTCGCATGACTAGAATCCATACCCCTCGTCTCTTGTCCTTCGTGCTCGTCCCTCGTTCCTCCCCCTCCCCCTGCTTCATGCTCAACCGCAGAGGCACAAGATGGTGGACATGCCCGTGGCCTACTCTGGAAGGCCTGGGGCACGCCCTGATTGGGGGAGGAGGCAGGCGAATGGTTGCGTTGTTCATCCAGTTGGGAGGAGACGGTGGTGGATGATGCTGTTGATTCTGCCGATGACGATGAGGCTGATGCTGCTGCTGATGACGGTGATGATGGTGATGACGACGATGACGATGACGGTGACGAAGACCATGACGGTGACAAAGACGAGGATGACGATGACGAGGACAATGACGACGCCGACGACGACGGCGACGACGACGACGATGATGTTGTTGATGATGATGCTGCTGATGATGAGGATGAGGATGAGGATGAGGTGATGACGATGACCATGACGATGGTAATAACGATGACGATGACGAGGACGAGGAGGATGATGCTGCTGATGATGATGCTGATAGTAATGATACGGTTGTTGATGATGGTACTCGTAATGATGTAGGTTGTTGTTGATGATGTTGGTGATGATGTTGTTGTTGTTGTTGTGGTTGGTGTTGTTTGTTGCTGTTGGTGTTGTTTGCTGTTGGGTGGTGTGCTTTGTTGTTTGCTTAGTGTTTGTTGTGTGTTGTGGTTGCTGTTGTAGTTGTTGTTGGTGTTGCTGCTGCTGCTGTTGTTGTTGTTGATGATTGTGCTGTTGTTGTTGCTGTTGTCGTTGTTGGTGTTGAATTCTCATTTCTGAAGAATAATTATTGTTGATCCCTCCCACCAGTGTATACTATTTTTCTCAATCAAAGTGTGTCCATCGACGCTCTCACCCTGTTTTTTTGACAGGGACAGTCGTGATGCTCAAACTGGGCCCCTGGCCCCCGGGTTACAACAACAACGGCTCCCGCCTGAGACTTCCTCACAATTTAGCCAGGACCCCCGCTCCCGCCCGAGACTTCCTCGCATTTTATTCATGAATCGCGCTCTCGCTCTGGACTTCCTTAGAATTTATACAGGAAATGCTCTCCTGGCGCTCTTGAGTCGCGCTCTCGCTGGAGATTTGGTTGCAAATCGCTGACGAATAATGCCCTTGCGCTGGAATTTCTTGCAATTTACTCAAGCGCCGCTCTCCCAACACCCAGGC